TGAGCTGTGGGTGTGGAGCTGTGTGCTCATCCTCACTCCCGCTATGGAGGGAGGGTGTTAAATAGCGTTTTCCTGACAAGTCAGACTTGTGTTTATAATCAAGTCATTAAAAACATGTGTTCTTTTTAAGAAAGTAGTTTTTAGTTGAAGACCTTCAGTTTTCATCTGTTAGTACTTTAATTGTACATAAATATTTTTGATTGCACATATAATCGTTCAATGTTTTTGTCCTGGGTGTAACTATAATTGCTGCTCTTCCCCCTGGATTTAATTCATTGCAACAGCTCCGGTGGAAGAAAAAGCATTACTACTTTTCACTGATGTTTTTCTACTGCTGGGTTTCATGGATTTAAATGCAACTGTCAGTTGTGGAATAAGTATCCAGATACTTTACTTAAGTAAAAGTATGTTTATATGTATTTAAAATCAAAATCGCAAACATAACTATGGCTCTCACTTAAAAGTAGTGGAGTAAAAACATATTGACAGTAAAATGTATTCCTGCTCATTCTGCCTCCTCTTCAGCCACATCTCCGTGTCCCCAAGCCCTTTCAAGTGCTATTCTTTAGCAGTCCACCAGATGACCTTTCATTCAAGATCACGTGTCAAACTCGAAGCCCGCAGGGGCTGAAGCCGGCCTGCCACGTCATTTTATGTGGCCCATTCCGATGTTTGCAAGTCTGCGAGATTCACCAGAGACGTTTTGGAAACACGAATTGAGGAGACGAAAGGGAAAAGAGATTTCACATGGCTTTTAATCAAGAATGTACTGATTTTTACATGTACATTCTTCCCACGGACAGTTCAAAACCAGAATCTCTCAGATCTGCAATCGTAGCTGTCAGGACAAACTAGAGCTCACGTTTCTCACTGAACAAGAGAAAGTAGGAAAGTGGTAGCTCTGTAAGAGGGAATGAAAGAGAAGGAGGCATTACAGCTGTTCATTTGTTAAGATGTGTTGAGTGTTTATTATAAAATTGGTTAAGACTACACTTCATCACTTCAAGCTACACTTCATTTATTCTAAAAATTAGGCACCTTATTTTAGTTTATTTAAATTTAGAATTTATTATTAGAGTAGTTATTATTTATTATCCCTCCAGTTTGATGTGAAAACTGACTGAAATATTATTTGATTTGACAGTCCGTTGTTGACTAAAAACATATGTTGATACAGCTATACATTATGGTACTGAATGATAATGCAAGTTAGTCGTTTTCAATGCATGTCGATTTTGTGACCCGAGAAGTGACGGTATCCCGCCACTAGATTGCGATGTTTCCACACCCACTACGGTAGTTTTCTGACAAGTGTAGATGAGAAATGTATACAAACAATCACTAAAATGTCCAAGACGAGAAAAACTGATGCAGAAGGAAAGCAATTTCATGAATGTTGGGGAAGTGAATACATGTTTGTGCTTCAAGGAGAAACCCCGGTAGGCTAGGCCCATGTCTTTTGTGTTATGAGGCAGTATCAGTGATGAAGGATCAACGTTAGTTAAGGCTCGTGCAGACTACACGACTTTCAGCGTCGGCCGATGGCCGTGCCGTTCACACTACACAACTTGCCGTCTTGCGACGGGAGTCTGTGGCGTTCACACTACATGACTGATCGGTGACAAGGGGTCACACACTATGACATGGAAATGACGCAAACCTACAGACAAAACAGCTGTTGTTTGTTATTATAAAGACAAAGAATATGGGTGAAAGAAAGGATTAGCAAATTAGTAAAAAGTGTTTTGCGGTGAAAAAGTAGCTGCCTGCTCTCATTGGCTGGATGTGGATGTCGAGTCGGCCGACTTCTCCAGATATTTGGCATGCTAGGTATGTCAGAAATGTGTCAGGGAGCCGTTTTGATGTGTTGTTGAGTAGTTCACACATAACGACTGACCGAGCTCTCCAAGCAACGAATCAGGCTAAAAATCGTGTAGTGTGACCTTGGCTTGGGCTACAGTAGCCTATACGTCTGCATTTTTCCAGGTAATCAAACTATCTCTCATTAGTTGGATGTATGCCCTCTACAAGGCTGTGTGCAGCCGGACTATTTGTTTTATCAAATGCCAAATCTATCACTCATGTTATTAGCAGCTCACAATAATTTGTTTTACTGTGGTTCTGCACCTCTGGACTGTGAAAAAGTTACTGTAAAAGCTTATGTTTGATGATATTTGTCTTTTTTACTTGAAATGTTTGATCTTTGAGGGTTTTAAAATCTGATTCAATTCATTTATTTATGTTATGTTATGTATGTTACACAGAGAGATTTTCTTACTAAGGCTATATTTTTACATCTGATAAATGTCTTTGAATACATAATCAAATAAAGTTATTTAACAATATGTTAAGGAGTAGTTACGTTTATACAGTCTTAGCCAGTTGCAACTGGCCCTTTAAGGGTAACCGTAATACTTACGTGGCCCTTGGTGAAAATGAGTTTGACACCCCTGTTCTAGTTACTCTTACCTGCCCTTCTCCTCACCCCAGCTTCCCCGCTCACCTCCACACCTTCTCCTCCTTCCCTTATCAGCCACTTAATACATGTAACAGCCCAGATCCATTGTTCCTCTACCAGATTGTGTTCCACCTATCTGGCTGTTTTTGCTTGCCTTCCCCGTTTCACCTTCGGTCCTATTGTTTACACTTTGATTCCTGCCCATTTCTAGATTGATTTGCCTCTTTGGCGTCTCTCTGATGTTGACCCTTGCCTGCTTCATGGTCCTGACAATCTTTGCGCTTCAGTTTTGTAATTACATTGTTGAACTGCACCAGCTCTCCCTCATTCATCTGCATTTGGACCCTATTCCTGTGGCCCCACTCACAGCATCCATGAGAAGAGTAAAGTAATACAAATAATGCTCAAATAAAACTTAAGTGGGACAATTGTCTTAATTTCTATGAACTGACACTTTAAACTCATCATCAGGCGAAGACTGACACACACCTCTTTCATGTTCCTCTGCTCCTCATGGGACATGAAGGGGCAGCCTTTGTGGACTTGTTGGAGGCAGAGGCTGCAGATTGGTCGGCCATGTTGGGTGCAGAAGAACTCCATCATCTTGTGGTGGTCCGGGCAGATACGCTGCAACAGGTCGCCGACAGGCTCACTCAGCTGGTGGAGACGGAAAATTGGGTTTTCCCGGTGAGGGCGCAGGTGGTCCTCACAGAAAGAGGCCATGCAGGTAAGGCAGGTCTGCGATGCTTCTGCTTCCATGCAGGCATCACAGCGTATGACTTCCTCTTTCTTGGCCTTGCTCTCCTCTTCGGCCGGGCTGGCCTCGCTCTTGGTCGACCTCAAGTTGAAGGTCTGCACCACGGTGCTGAGGACCGTGTTCTTCTTCAGCTCGGGTTTGGTGGCGAAGTGGGTCCGACACTGGGGGCAGCTGTAGGACTCCTTCCAGGTGGCGAGGAGGCAGTCCTGGCAGAAGTTGTGTCCGCAGGGGATGGTCACCGGACAGTCAAAGGTACTCAGACAGATGCTGCAGGTCAGCTCATCCTCCAGACTCAGCAGAGAAAAAAAGTGACTCTCGTCCACTTCGGCCATGATGTGACTTCAGGTGAGGGCTGCGAGGGAGAAACGAAACTTAACTTGTCAAGCGCATGAAAACGAAAGTGAAGAAACTCGTTTGAAATCCAAAGCGCAATGAATTCTTAAAGTCGACGGTTTGCCTCGTTTGACGAAGGCTCTTTTTTCTTTTTTAGTAAAACAGTGTTTCAATATGCTACAACTAGGTATCAGCAGGTTATGACATGGAAACATAAGCTATCGTAAGACGAAGTTTGAGCATTCAACGCGCGGCCGACTTTGACATTCAAAGTTACATTCACATATAAAATTCGGAAAGTAAAAAGCTGAAACATAAAGGCTAAACCTCCCACAATACCTTTGGTCCTCGAGTGTAAACTCAGCACGACGCTCCTCACACGTTCAGCAGCTGATGTTGATTACACGTCCGGTAGTCAAGTCTCTCTCTCTCTCCCCCTCCCTCCCTCTCTCTCTCTCCCCCTCCCTCTCTCTCTCTCCCTCTCCCTCTCTCTCTCTCTCTCTCTCACGCAGTCGTAGTAAGCGGCACAGAAATGCCGACGTCAAACAGTGGTAGCCTGAACTGAAGCCCGTTTAAGAAAAAATGCGAAAACACCCTGCATGTTATGCCAAAAAAAACCTCGTGGTTTGTCTAAATACTAAGTCAAAGTATGATATTAAATTGTGACTTAAACAAACAAAATGTTTATTTCCCATATCTCATCATTTGATTTTTCTTAAAAATTCATGATCTATTATCACTTGATTCTCCTCCCATTTTCTAGTGTTCATTGCACTTATTTTACTTATCCAGAGAAAATCCGTTTTTTCTGTCAACTTGACCCCCAAAAAATCTGTGAAAAATCTGACATAAAGCCAAACTAGAGCCTGCACGATTTTAAATGGCCAATGGTGAATTTTCAAATATACAGAAGAATATGGCTTGCTTATTTCTAATAAATTGCACTATATGCATATTGCACATCCTAGTCTGAACACTAGAGGCTACTGTTGTAGTACTCCAGACCGGTCTGAAGACCACTTTTTGATGGTCTCGGTCTCCTCTCCTCTCCTCTCTTATTTGTTAACATCCTAACTTTGATTGGATGTAAAACTTATTGCTTCAAATGCAACCAATAACCCTAATTAAAAATGTGTTGTTACCATTAACGACTGTCAAAGGAGTGTTGAATAAAGATGCTTATGTTGATTTCAGCTCTTAGTGCTTGTATGTGGGTGTTTTAATGGGAATGTGGATCTTTCAGATCAATTTCCACTTTCACTGTGTGTCCCTGTATTTCTTGTATGTGGCACATAATCAAAACAGTTCCTGCATCACTCAGCCCCAAAACTAGAAGGCATGAAGTTAAAAAAATAAAGATGACTTTCAATTAGTAGTTACTTTGTGGTAACTTGATTTAGTTAAACTCTGCTGCACAATATGTCCTGCAATAAAAAAAGCCATAAAACCATATTTTGACATCTGGTTCTTTTATTAATCACACAGGTTTACAAGTCAAACATATCTGTAGGTAAAATACATTAAAAGCTGAAATGCAGACAAATCCTCTAGGTTTCACATTCACTTCAGTCAGAGTTTTGTCCATTTACATCCATTCTGAATATGTTCATAAAACTAAACTTACACCTGATCAGGAAACCATAATTTGGACTTCAGGCAGTGGTTTCCACATGAACTCCATGTATTTACACAAAATAGTGATACTGCAGCTCTAAGTCTAAGTCTTGTTACTGTCAGGGCTCAGTTGCTGTTGATGTGTGGCTTTTCAGGATGCATGTTGTTTTGGCTGCTGTTGAAGGACTCACTGAGCTGGTGAAGGTCCCTTAGTAGGACGGCAAGCTGCTCCTCCTGTGGCCACATAGAAAACAGCCATGAATATGTCTCAGTCGACTCACTAATATATGCAATTCAACTACTGTATACTGATTGTTTGTGGGACAGGGCAAATATTCAGCTGTTTGTAAGTTTGAAATTAAATGCTTTTCACCTTGAAGCCCCAAATATTTCCCCATCAGACTTGATAGTTACTAGTTAGTCAACAAAGTTCAATGCACTATTCCTTAAAAAAGCTAGATAACTGTCTTTCTGTCTGTCTTACCAGTACGTTTATTCGCTCGGCTGCTGCAATGGCAACACTTAGCTTCCTCTCATCTTCCTCCTTTTCCTCCTCAATCACACCCAGCCTGTTGCAGACAAAGATAAAAGAGATGCTTTTATAAAAAAGAACAGAACACCACAGTAACACGTAATTTGGAAACATGAAATCATTTACTGATAATCAGTAAAAACAGCATAGCCTTTTGCTTTCTACACCCAATCCAAGCGTCAACAGCTTCATTAATCTTCGTGAGACTAAAGTTACAAAGTGTGGAATACACAGAGTATGTAGACTGAATACACAAGTAGCAAATACTGTTTAATTCTACTATCTTACCTGAAGGTGGCACTGGCCAGCTGCTCTTCACGCACAGCCAGCAGATTCCGGAGGTCATTCACCTCTGTCTGCAGCATTGCATTCTGGTCCTGGCTTTGGATGATGAAGTCCTCCAGGCGCTTTGCCATGTCCAGTTCACGCTCCGTCACCTGCTCTATCCCCAGGCGGAGCTCTGATAGCTCCTGAGCATGCTGGTGTGTGAATTGAAATGTAATAATGAAATCATACACACTATACAGCCACAATTATGTCACTTTAGTGAGTAGGAGGTTTGACATACCCTATCCAGTAAGGTGAACTGCTCATTCTCAGTCTTCATCTCACTTGACTCCCTGTTGTGACTGACTTTGATCCAGGGAACTGGTTCAGGTTGACGTTTGATACTGGCAGTCTGAAACAGCATAAAAGATTTCTTTATAATTAACCACACAAAGTCATATCTCCGTGTTCACATACATGTCAAAAGTATGTTTATTATTACTGATTAAAAAAACACAGGCGATATTTCTAAGATAAGAAAGCCTACTAGAAAAATGTGAAGTATTAATTGCAGTGGGGGGAGCACATGACCTGCTGAGCTCCGGTAGTCCAAAATAGTTGAGCCACGTTCACAGTTCCTCTTTGTACTCACAGTATTTGGGGATGAGATAGACGGTTGGTTGGTCTCCATCTCTTGTTCATGGTCAGCTATCGGCAGAGTTTCAGAACTTGTCTGCCTCTTTAAGCCATGTTTTGCTTGACCGGGACGTCTGTGTGGAGCGCTCTGAGTTCTGGCGACTGGCTTCCTCTCTCTCATATTCCTCCGAGTCCTAACATCCCTGCTGGAAGAATGAATGTATTACTTATTTAAATGCCATACACCTAATTATGCCATTTGGAAAATCTGGCGCTGACCCAGAACCTCCTGGAAGTATTACATATGTGATCTGGCTTGGGAGCACATCTGGATTTGCCAAAAAGATCTGTAGGACATACCTGGTCTAGCACATAAGAAAGTCTGACCTACCTATATGTTCAGTAGTAGCCACCACAAGCCGTAATGGATAAGTGGCAGACATTAATGGATGATTGGATGGATCACTGGTACAAAAACTTAAGGGAAAAGCACTATCGTCTGAGGCCAGTAAGGCATACAATTATCATACCCGTCTCGTAGGCCTTTAGAGTCCACAGGAAGCTGCTGGAGGGATGATTGGTGAGGGCTGTATTTGACCAAGTCTTTAGGAGGAACGTACACCGGCTTGTCTTGTCCAATTTGGCTGCAAGAAAGAGCATGCTTGAGTAACATGTAACAACACCATGTTCAAGTTTGTAATAAATAATAAGTTGCTGACAAGTCAAATAAGAAATAGGCTTTAAACATACCTGCTAACTATGATCCGGGTTGCTTGAGGGCCCAGTGACTCTGATATCTGGTTCAGAATCGAAGGCAGAGGGTGCAGCTTGTCAATTGTGTTCTGAGGAAGAAACACCCTGCATATTAGGTCCAATTTAGGTTACTCTGTAAACATGCTGTCAACATCTTGATACCTTGAATGTTTTATAAAAATTGTCACAAGCCACTTGGTACTATATAGTTCAGTACGTTGCGTGGCTTGGTTTGTGGAACCAAATAACTACTGTCAAAGTAGCAAACAAAAATTTAATTCGGTCTACGAATATGCAGAACATAAACTCATCCTACATCTTGTCCACACCTGATCTTTAAGGTTTTGGCTTAATGTGCTAGTACACTTCTTCAAAAGCGTTTGTAGAATGGTCAGAAAGCTTTGGAAACCTCCTCCTCCCACCTTTCTGATGTTGGAATTGGGGGCGGGGAAGCCTTTAAACTAACTAACCAACTATCATACTGGACTCTTTTGGTTTTCCATCATACCTGGTCCCTTTGATGGATTATGTCTACTAGCAGACCATGCAGCACAGCCAAGCGCAGAGGCAGGTCCACATAACCATCGAAGGAAGTCATTGGAATTTCTGTGTCTGAATTGGACACTGTTTGCAGAAAGCCTCTCATTCCATCCCAGTGCTGCTGTAGGAATTGGTTCATGAAGAGCATGTATTCCTCCTTCTCCCCAAACCTGAATCAGAACACAAGATTTAATTTAATAAAAAAACACTTGTTTTTATATGCACAAAAGTGATTTTTTTATTTAGTCAAAGCAAATAAGAGGCAACTCACAGGGTGAAGTTGGCCAGATTCTGAATGACTTTGGCAGTTAGGGTGAGGGTACGCAGGGTATTTGGCTCTGGATAAGGCTGTGTCAGACCAAAAAGAGAAGGACTGAGGATAGCAGGACATAAGAAGCGAAGGAAGAGGGAAGCAGAGATGAGACGTTGGCCAATCTCTGGTCTGCCCTGGTCTTCACACAGCTCCACCCAGCTGGAGAAGATCTTGTTTAACTCTTCAGGAAAGGGTCTGAAGGCAAGAAATATGTCAAGCATCAGCTCAAATACCACTACTGGCCGGAACATTTAATATTTGTTATTTCATGTCTTTTTCTATGATGACCTCTCTTCTCTCACCCATGGATCTCAATAATCTTTTGCACCACCTCCTCACAGGTTTCCCTCAAGTGCCTCTGGTTGTTTGACAGTTCGGACGCAGAGCATTTACGAGGGTCAACTTCACAGTTCTCCACAGAAGTGTAAAGACGGGTGATAAAGTCCCCTGCAGTGAAAAAGAAAGCACAGAGTTCATTGAAAACAAAACAATAACCTACAACAATTACAGGAATCCACCTTTACCACTGAACTACCCTACCTAGTGTGTCAATGAGATACTTCTGGCCAACCAGCTTCATGTATTCATCGATGGCTTTAGTGGCCAGTGTGTTCTCTCTGAAGATCAGTGCCTCTTTCTCTCCAAGACGCTCTACCTCGGCACTGCCCAAATCAATGAGGAACTCCTGAAGCATACACATTCAATACACATCCAATTAAGAAAACATATTGTTCCTTTTTGTTGTATTTTATAAATCAGATTATGTTTGAGTTCTATTCCATTTTGGGATTTCAAAACTATAATGCCGTTAGTTTATATGGATTATGAGACTCATTGTCTACCTTGGCTTTGCCAATACTCTGAAGTACATGGACCAGAGCTCCTGCCAGTTCTTCCTTCTCCTTCACATTCAGAAGTGGCTCCAGGCTTCTGCACATTTCTACATAATCCAATGTCACATACTCAGCAAACTCTTTGTATTTCTCCATGGGCAGCACTTGCAAATTCTGGAAACGGGCCTTGATGCGCAGTGAGGCCTGTGGCCCGAGCAGTTCTTTGTTACTCGCTGTGCCTGAGGCCTTGTGTGGAGTGATGGGATACCACTTCTCTTGATAGGTCCTCCCTCGGATCTCAGCTAAAGGTATGGCCACACTGCCCAGTGGGTACAGGCTGGTCTCGTCTCGGGAGTGACGCTTTTTCTTGGGGTCTTCGTCGCGGAAGATGTGCAGGGTGATTTGGGAGACACATGGCAAGTTGTCTAGCTCAAAGAATTCACCCCAGAATAACTGACATCCTCCAGCCACACCTCCACTGGCCCCCTGGCCTCCTGAAGGCCCAGTAGAGCTGTCCCCTGCCAGGCTGGAGCGGTTAGACGGCTTGCCGACAGCTCGGCTGGTGGTGCGGGCGAACAGGGTCCCGTCCAGGTGTACCTCGCAGTAATAACGCCGTTTGGGTGGAAGATCCTTAGCTTCATTTACCCACAGACTCAGGAAGTTCTCTGTGCGCTCAATGTTATCCTGTAAACAATGATGCATTTAGCTCTTTTAATTAGCATTTTAATTTTGCATAACACATTTTTACATAGGAGCTAATGGCTTACCTTATTAGGCTGGGCAGCCCGTCTCAGGTCTTCGATCCAACGGTCACGTTCGGCAGCTGAGGAGCAGCCAAAGCAGTGGGTGTTCTCTGAGTTTATTACCTAGAAATACATTGAAACCAACAGGACCATGTAAGCCTGAGAAAGTTCATTTTTTTACATAATGGAGGGCACTGTATGATGCATCTTGAGGAGCATGCATCATACACAGAATGCACATGGTCAAGTGTACCTCGAAGCAGTACTTCTCTCCCAAAATAGAGCTGTGGACTGGCCTGATGACAGTGCTGGTGTCTGCACTCAGATCTACACTCCCCACTGGAATTGACACAGACTCCCGGGAACCATAGTGCCTTAGAAATAAACAGAGTATAAAAAGTGAGTCAAAATTCAAATGATAAAAATGTTAAGTGTTAAATACCATAACTTGTATTTAATGTTACGCCCATGCGACACAAGCCCTGTGTTTTACAGACTGCTGGTACTATGAATGTATGCACACGATATGTTTATTGATAGATTAGGATCACTTCTTATCATTGTGGTACATTTAAAAAAACAAGAGCTTGTAGAGATCACATCGATGGCCACATAATTTTGTACTGACATTCATGGTTCCTACAGGTTGTACTGCCTTTGGTGATCCCTGAGCACTCCTGTTTCAGTTTTTTTGTGACATATCTATTGGACAGATTGCCATAACATTATTATTATTCACTTATCCGATGATACATCTCCTGCAACAATATCAGGATCCCCATGAATTTTGGTACAGACATTCATGTCCCCCGCAGGATATACTGTAATAAGTTCAAGTCATCCAAAATTATCCAAAGTGTTCATTATTTTGGTTTATGACCAAATACCGATCTTACAAAACTGAAAATATTCCCATTACCCTCAGTTGTACTTTGCATTTTGTGTATAATTGTACAAATGGTAACATGCTAACATGCTAACTAAGATGATGAACACCGTAATTATGATACTTGCATCAGCATGTCGTCTTGTTACCATGCTGAAGTTACCCATTTTGCTCAGCTGCACAGAGATGCTCGTATGGTTGTAGACTCTTGTTTTAGAATAGAATAGAATACACTTTATTGTCCCTTAGGGGAAATTTGTCATGGACTCAAAAGTGCGTAGTTCATAGTAGTTGCTGCCCTTACAGACAATAAATACACGAAAAATACAAATAACAGCCAAAGACGTACACATAGGCTACATACGTACTCATGACACATCCAATAAAAGATTAAAACAAATAATAAAACAAAAAATAAAATAAAATACAAAAAACAACAAGCAGGACACCAAGTTATTGCACACTTCCCAGGCTTCAGCGTACAGATCTATTTAAAATTTTGATTTAAAATTTGGATGGAGAAAGAGTATTTAAAACGGTTCAATTTGTTTTTTGAGATTCTTTACCTTCTGCCAGAAGGCAAGAGCTCATATTCCGTTTGTAGGATGTGGGAAGGGTCCAACGGTACTCTACGCGCCTGCCTGAGTAAAGACTGCTCATAGATGGAATGAAGGGAGACCTTTTCAGTCCTCCCCATCACCTTCGTAGCAGTCTGTACCAGGGGCTGCAACTTTGATTTGGACTGTGTTTTACAGTTTTAGACGGTGCAGGAGGACTACTTATGGGCTGCACTGTCTTTGTCTTCACAGACATCCCAGTGAACCTTACCTGTTTCCTTTGTTTAGTCCCATGGGGTTCAGTTGGGTGTTGCTATTCCTCTTAGCCTTGTTCTCGAGACGTCGCTTAATCAGTCCCTAAGGGGGAAGAAGGCAAGCATGTTGTAAGAGCAATTAAGAATTACATCAACAGGAAATGAAGGGTTAGCTGAAGGATTGTTATCGCTGCTGTGTGCTGTACTTACCCTCACACCGCCATCTTGGTTCTTTGGTCGAGTGCCACCCGGCAGACCCACAGGGTCAGGGCTACATTCTAAGTATCAGGAAGAAATGAACACAAAATGTCAATGTCAACCTTTTTCATTATTCTAACATGCTTGTTGGTGTTAGGCAATTATATATACATATATATCTATATATATAAATGTAGTTTCTTTCTGTTTGTGGTCAATACTTTGTATATTTCTATTATATGTTCTGAGTAATTTGCTTCTAATATCCAATTTCCAAACCACATTTTTGATTGACACTCCCTGAGTGCAAACCCTTCTCTCAAAACTACTGGTCAAAATTCAGTCTCTGCACTGCTCCAACACTCCTGCCAGCACTAATTTACAAGAAACTAATAACAAAGTAGTTTAAATAAAATAACAGACTGGTCGTGTCTCCAAATTGCAACCCCTCGGCCTTGCTCATGAATTTTGAGGTCCTTTGTATGAGCATCAAAAGGATATAATGACAAAATGAAACCTCTTATCGAGCCCTGCAGATGTTCTGCCTGCCAGATTTCTTAAAAAAGTTTTAAACAGTATTGGTCCCACGATTTTATCTATTGTCAATAGTCCTCTGTCCTCTGGATGTGTTCCCTCCAGCCTGGAGAACCTTGACCCTACTGATTTAAAATAGCAATGGGAAATGCCTCCTCTTCTGAGGCCCCTCTAACCATTAAGGCTCCATCCTTGGCCCCTTGTTATTTTGTGTGTACATACTGCCATTAGACCAGATCATTCACAATCAGAAGATCCAGTACCACTGTCATTGCTCTTGGTGGGAACTGTTGGGCTTCTGTAAATATCATCACAGAGTACGGTCTAGACCTGCTCTTTTATGAAAAGCGCTGCGAGATAACTGTTGTTGTGATTTGGCGCTATATAAATAAAATTGAATTGAATTGAATTGAACTGATGACAAACTTAAATATTTCCCATTAAAAACAACTGATGAAGGCACTATTTTACAAAATAATCTTGGAACCCCAGCCACAAACATCAAACCTGCTGCCAGTAACCTGGGTGTAATATTTGACCATGATCTTTCTTTTAAAAAACATTTTACAAATGATTTTCGGGGATGTTTTTACCAGTTAAGAAACAATTTTAAAAACAGGTCCTTTCCCTCTCGGTCTGATCTCGAGACAGTGATTTTGTGATCGTGAGACCATGCTTTTATTTAATCTAGATTGGGTTATTGTAATTCATTGTATTCAGGGCTAAGCAAACGAAGATATGATCCCGTCAGTCAGAACGGGCTTTTGCAGTCAAAGCCCCTCAGCTCTGGAACGCCCTGCCTGAGAACCTGAGGCTCGCAGGAACAGTAACATCTTTTAAATCACTTCTCAAGACATACTTTTACAAAACAGCCTTTAATTAATATTAGTGCTTCCTTTCATTTCTATCTGTCATACATGTCCATTTTATCTGTATCACTGAAATCTTCTTTCCTTTACCCCCATGCTGCTTGATGAATTTTGCCTCTGCTTTGAAATGTTTTAATGTGTATTCAACCATGTAAAGCACTTTGTAACTCTGTTTTGATAAGTGCTGTGTAAATAAATGTATTACTTTAATATTATAATTTCTGCAGTTCCAGTGAAGTCTCAAAACATTAGTCAAGACTAGTATTAGCAAATACTTTCAGGCAAGGCCATACAGGATGTGGTTTTCAGTTGGAGCTGCAGATATCTAAGTTAAGTAATTGTCTATACTTCTCTAGCAGACATTCTTATTATATAAATCCATTTCAAGCTTTGCAGAGGATGAAATTAGAAAATCACATTCTTCCTTGATCCCCCCTCATGTGTCTCTTCAGTGTCCCTTTGTTAGCTCTTCAGTTATACGGTAAAGATATTATTATTAAGATATATGTAGAAGATTTTCTTTCTGTTTTCCTTACCCAAAGCCCCACCACAAACAATCCAGCGTCTAAATCCCATCATTTAGTCCAAACGCGTGCCACAGTCTTGTTACTTCGATCTCTGACCCTTCAACATTGCCCTCCTCTCTTCATTAACATATGTTGAACGAGCCAAACAGCCAAGATCAATAAAGGATCAGATACTTCCACAGTGAGGCCTTACAACTTCTTCTGTGCAAAACTCCAGACTGGAATTGTAGCAGATGCAGACTATGACCTCTCTGAGTCTACGATCTTTTAATGAACTGCTAGAACACCCAGGCTCGATGCTATCTTCCCCAAAAAAGGAAGCAATTTGACAGTCACTCCCCCACATAAACATCCTCTGTCTACAGAATCATATTTAGTGTTGCTGTGACGTCAGTAGCTGTTTTTCTAATCAGATTTGCCCAACTTCCTCATGCTTTTGCCTAGTGTTAACTGTATGAACATGAATTTGTTCTGTATTTGTGTGTGTGTGTGTGTGTGTGGGGGGGCTATGTATTAACCTGTGTCGATATCTACAAGGTTCTGCATGCTGAGGTTGGACAGGTTGCTGCTGACACGGTTTCGTGTCCACATGGTTGGCTGAAAAAAAACACACATATTTTGTCACTCTATCACACTATCAAGACTTGAATGTGTGCTCTTTTATATTATATTATATATTATTTTACTATAGTGTAGTGCTTTCCCCTTTCAGTTGGTTTTAATGCTTCATGTTTGGACTGTGTCTACAGTTGTTACAGACTTTTGGTTAACCACGGGCAGTTGATGTTGTGTGTCTTGGTACCTCCTCCTCTGGAGAAATGAGAATTTGTCCATCCTCAAGCATACAGTTGCTAATGTCCCACAATGGGACCTCCTGAGGCGGGGCCCATTGTAGTCTTGGGAGTTCACTGGCTGCAGCTGGTGTAGGTTCACCCGCATCTGTCACACAAGCAGATATGTACACACACACACACAAACAAACACAGTGATATTCATCACCACACAGTTAAGAGAGAATCGGCACTTGGAAGCAGTCTATCCACACCATACCATCACAAAATAAACCACAAATCACTCCGGAGAACCAACTATATAGGTAACTCAAATATGAATATTGCAGGAACATAATAGCAGGCGCACACTGGCCCTTGTTTGTTTTTGATTTTTGGTAATTATGGCGTGATGGCACTTATCTCACACAGAATTTGTCCACTCCCATTTGTGGAGCTGCCAGGACTGCTGATACTATCGCTCTCTTGTCATGACACACAAGAGATGAGCTGCACACATCCTGTGGTTACTCTAGTTTTTACTTGATGTACACGTCCTTTGACATGTCTTTGCGTGGTAGTTAAGGTTTAAATCTTCTCCTTTTAAAGATTTTTTTGATGCGTTTTGCACAATAATGTGTAGGCTTTTTCTAAAAGGAAAGCTGATGCAAAGAGACATTTTATACAATAAATGAGACTTTATCTATGTTTATAATTTTATATAATCCAGATAAAAATTCTGTGCAGCTGGATGATTGTGGCTCAGTGTAGCCAATGTTTCTCGCCAAAGTGTGTCAGCTCAGGCCCAATATGTACCTAGTTTTAGTTGTAAACTTTGGCTAGGTCCAATTTGCTGAAGTTCTCCAGAGTTTCATAAATCTTTTATGGGTGCTTAAAAGTAAAGAACATTGGTCTAATTCAACCGTGAATTTTTCCAGCCGTGTCCTTTTCAGAAGTCATTACTTGAATTGAAACCTGTATTGCTTTAGCTCTGAGTTTCTTCTCAGCAGAACAGACGTTTCCTGTGGGAGTGGTTCTGTAAATCTAGGTAAGTTACCACTTTGTTTTTCTTCAGTTACGGCTAAGTTAACCCTCTGGCTGCAGTTTTGACCTTTTTTGGAATGAGTTGGTTTTGGTCTTGGTTCACTGTGGCACTTGATTTCTGTATCTGAAAAAACTAAGACCAGCTGTTGCTGAGACTGTAGGTCCAGTGATGTTCATTTAAATACATTTGAAAATGGCAGGGCTGGGATTACAGCCTTGCTTAACACCGTCACACATTAAACAGAATCTACCACTGATTTGACATGCTGATTGAAACATGACTTCTCCCTTTACTGCTCTTTATTAGTTAAGAAAATAATCTTCACACCAAATCAAAGATTTTATTCATAACTCAATGCACTAAACATGCATTATTTTGTCTTTATTTTGATAATTATTTTTATATATACACTACATATACATGTGCTATGGGGAAAATGTAATTATATCTACAAATCTTTATTTGAGAATACTGCTAAGTAATTTCTAGAGGTTACCGACTTTAACTACTACTTCAGTGATAGGGGATACCAGTGATGTCTGGTAATTTTCAATATTTTTAAAATAATCCTTTAGAGGTTTTCCATTTATCTCCAGTTTGAACCTACACCTCACTGTAGTTTTTGTTGGAAAACATTCCAGTTTCCCAAAATTTAACCCCTTCAATTAGTTGCAACTAGATAGTGTTTGGACTTTTAATATTGATACATTTCCATCTTTAAGTTCTTCTTTAAGGTTGTTCATATCTTAATTTAAATTTGTCAGCTTTTCTCTTAAGTTGTGTTATTATTGCTGAGTTTGTCTAATATGGCACTAGATGCTGAACTACTCTTAAGACTTATACACCGATATTTACCACGTGTCACTGTGAAGAAAGTCACACATACCCCACCTACTATAGTGTCACTGAAGGACACAATAAAGTGTTAGCTAAACATGCATACAGTAAAAGGAAATCATGCCTACCACATGGGTTAATCATTTTGCTTTGTCAAAACAAAATGCCTTAGAGTGCATGTTACCATACTTTGATGTGTTTACATATCAAGATGTATCATTCCAACAACTGTGCTAATCTCAAACATTAAATTGGGATTTTGAAATAATATGAGTATATGTCTACTTTCAGATTAGGTGTTGTTACCTGGCACCAAGTTTGGGGTGCTGCTCCGACTTTGCAGACGGGGCCTCTTGAGCTTCTGGGACACAGTCCTCAGGTACTTTTTTAGGAGCGCCCCTCCGCCTCCTCTCTGTGAAGGGTCTGTGGATGAGACCCCCGAGGCCTCCGCTAACGATGAAGCTGGCTGAGCTGAGCTGGCAGAGCTAGAGGAAGGAGACAGGGCTGCAAACAGTGACCCGGGAGGCTCCGACAGGGCCCTTCTGAACGGGTTCTTTCTGGTTCCTCCTGCGGCTCTGTCTGGCTTCGCTCCCTCTCCACCTTTCCCACTGGATGAACTTTTGTCTCCGGGGTCCTCGCTCAAGGCCTTGCGCCAGTTTTGCATCTTGCTCCATTTGTTGGTGGAGGCCTTCTGAATCTTATCTATTGTAGATGTGGAAGAAGCTGCTCCTTCTTCTTCTTCTTCTTCTTTCACCTCATTGAGAGTTGCCTTGGAGCCAGTGTGCCACTTGTATGTGTTGAGGGGGTCGGTGGTCTCAGATGTTTGTCCTTGAGGAGGCTCCACAGGAGATTCCGTTTCCTTCGCTGGTGATCCTTGCTCCTTCGGCGGTTGTTGAGCTGCAGGCTCTAAAGGTTTCTCCTCAGTACCCATTTCAGATTTTTAGGGTGTGTTACTCAGTTTTGTCTCTCCTCAAGGACACGTCCAAATAAATTCAAAAACCTTCATAGGACACCTCTTCAGCTTCCCTCCTGATTTAGTACTATCTTGGAGTTTGTTGAGAGTGCTAAGGGTGACAAAGTAGTTCCTTTCTTCACTGGTTCTATCTCACTGCTTTTCTTGTTTCCTGTCTTGCAAAACGTCATCCGGCAACAACTTGCATCGAGCTGCTCTGTGGTTGCTTTACTGCAGCGCCCGACTTACAGTCCGCTTGCTTCCTCATGAAATGGCACAGAGAAGTTCACCCTGTTTTTTTGTTGTTTTTTTACAGAGATCAACATTCACTTAATACTTCCCTTCTTCCTCACTTCCTGTTCTGCTTTTATGTCTAAGGTTTTTTATACAGATACAACTTTCTGTTGTGCTTAAACACATGACCCAGGATGTACATGCTTGATTTTTGAAGTGTGATTTGATGTAGGCCTACTGTGGGTAGTTATCAGCTCCAACTTCATCTTTAAGGGAACCTGTTTGTCTGTCAGTTTTTGAGTAATTTAGTCTGTCACAGTATGAGTGTGACAAATGTGGTTTTAAATTCTCTGTTTGAAGCACAAGGATGCATTTTCAGTTCTACCTCTTAACCCCCCTCACTCACACTCACACACACACACACACACACACACACACACACACACACACACACACACACACACACACACCAGGTACACACCAAGATACCTGATGATTAAATGAATCTCAGAACTCATAATACAAAATCTGTCTTCCGATGTTCAGGAGTATACCCTTGACATTTGTCCTGTCTAGCAGAAACAAATATCTTGAATGCTATTGCATGTGAAGGTCTAGAACGCAAATACTACCTGTGACTATTGTCAATATTAATGATCAATCTAGCAGTCCTTTAAGTAAAAGGGGCAGTATTTACTTGTTATCAGCTACCTGTGGGTGTATGGACTGTTGACTGTTAAGATCAGTTTCCTGTCAAACTGAGGCTGCACTTCCTGTTCAGATCGGTTTGTCAGACGCTGAAAACCACTTCCTGCACTCATGCTGCTCTCGGCGCGTACACACCTGCAGGATTTTTCTGTGTCCCAGTAGGGCGGGATGTCAGCACTAATGTCAGTCCTTGCCTAATGGCAAAATACAAGTGGACTGCAAGTTAACGATGCCACTGCAGCACTTTATAAACAGTACTGTTAATTACTCATTTTAGTAAGTAAGTAAACTTCAAATTACTGTCCAACAACCACTCTGCAAACATAGTCATACATGAATACATGTATTATTCTTTTTTTTAAAGAATCTGTTGTATGAGGCCACAGGAAGTTACATTTTTTACTCGTTTTATTGTGGCCCTCTGGTGGCTGTGTTTTAGTATTCATAATGGTATTGAAATTAAACTGAAAATGTGAATTGACTGTAGAACTGCAATGATGACAAAAAAAACCCCAGCCATCTGAAGATGTCGCCTTGCGCTGTGATAAATTAAACAGTACTTTCTGACAGTTTATAGACAAAATGATTAATGAAAGAAAACAATCAGCAGATCATCCATCGTCAACCACTTATCCTGCGTACACGGTCACAGGGGGCTGGAGCCAATCCCAGCAGACATCGGGCGAAAGGCATGGTACACCCTTGACAGCTCGCCAGTCCATCGCAGGGCCACACACAATCAAACAACCAGTCACATGCACAACATACATGGAACAACCAAGTTTCGAACCCACGATCTTCTTGCTGTGATGCGACAGTGCTAACCACTGCATCACCGCCCATCAGCAGATCATTGTAAGAGAAAAACATTTTGATGTATGGTACTAATTAAAAAAGTCTATTAACTAATTTCTCTTGCATAGAGTAGGTATAAAATATTGTCTGGTGATATTTAGCTTAATCTGTCTTCCTTTCCTTTGACATTTGCTAATTAGAACTAGAGATTAGTCATGCAGGTATTTAGTCACAAAAAGTACAAGGTAAATTTTGACTTGATGATGGCGCTAGATGAACAGTTAAGGGATCACCAAAGCTGATTCCTGAGGGGAACATGTCTGTACCATACTTCATGTCAGTCCATCCAAAAGTTGTCAAGACATTTAACCCAAAACCACAAATGTCAACCTGGGCACGGTACTAGTCTGAGAGCAATGACTCTCTCTTTCATCTTACAAATGTGGATATGTCACTAGACATTGACCAACATTTGACGTGCTGGTGTGAAAAGTCCGGCAAGAGAAAGTGCCACCTTTCCATTTATCTTTGCCACTACTGTAGGATAACATGGCATAATTTTAATCAGGAACACAAGTTTACATAAATACAGAAGCTTTATTTGAAAATAACTTTAACGCCATAGACCGTTTCAATTAGATCTAGAGTTCTATAAAGAGCAGCCTATCAGCAGCCTTGGGAGATGTGGCTTCATTACACAGAATAATGTCAGCTCCAGTTTGTTAATGATAGTGAAGAAGGTGAGGCTATAAGGAAAAGTAGAATGGATTTTGTTTTGGCTAAAATTGAAACCTGTTTTTGCTGAAGACATCCACTCAAGTCTGTTAACGCTTCCTAAATTGCAATTTGTTGTAACTGCAGCCATTGCCCAGTAGAGGACACTGTACATTCATTATAAACTCTCTCAAATAATGTAGTACATTTCAGTACATTTCTTTTTCATAGAAACCTAATAATATTTTTCATTGTATAAATCCAGTGTGGCATATTACCATTTGTTATGGATGCAACTGTCATAAATGCCCGTAAGATCACATGCTCTTGATCAGCCTCTGCACAGCTAATTACACACAAGTATAAAAGCATCTACGTACAGTTTTTGTTCTAAGGAATATACATGTATCCATCTGTATTTGTAATTAGTATATGAATAATCTTATAATCTTTTGATATCCCCACCATATGTCTTGAACAGATTTTCATTTTACATATTTCCAACACCCAAGCAAACCGAGGACAAGACTTCCTAAATGAGAGATGGCTGCGGTATAGCTTACACATGCTTCACTTGATGAATTAAGGATTTTTTAGGATACTTCCCTGCCAATTTCCCTTTATCGGACTGTTTAGAGTGCAGGTTATAGATGAAAGAGGAATGCAAGGAACGGAGAATGATGTGCGAGGAAAGAATCCCAAGCTGTATATGAATCTGGGATGTCACAGTAATGTTGTATTTGATTTTAGCCCACTGAGCACACTGTACACCGAATGTAATTCTGTTTTCACTCACTAATGGTGGAATTCACCCGTGCTGAACCACTCAACATCACACAACAGGATGAGTTTGACCTTGAACCAGTCGGGGTCAAGGTCAAAGCTGTGATATTTACTGGCAAATCCTATTTTAATGGTAAAGGTATGAACGGATTCACAATGCATCAGACTCTCCGTAAACATTCCCAGGCCAGACACTATGTGACCATACAATAACATTTCTTGCCTTTTTTAATGTGGCTGCTGTTTCTTTCCAGCGTTTGGTCTGGTGGCAGACCTTGGTGTAAGCTGTACAAACTCAGCTAATTTGCCCATTACACAACCGAAACACAATCGCCTTAACAATGCTGTCCCCCATTGCTGCTCAACCTTTTACACACTTGGAATGTGTATTTAATTCTGAGAACTAAACAGAAGCTTATAGGACAAAGCAAAGTTCAGACGTATTTGCACAACAGGAAGGAAGCACTCATGTGTGAAACACACAAGCTCACAATGAAAATCATTGTGTCATCAAGTGTTTCAGTATACAAATATTTTGTACATGCAAAGGACTTCTGCATTAGATTGTTTATGAACCACTTAGATGGGTTTGCGTTTTTTACCTGTGTTTTTTAAATTTTGTGTTATAATCATGCCATGGGCTACTTTTCACAATTACCTCCAGTTTGACTTTTTACAACAGGGGTCTTGGGTTTCAGGTGTGTAAATAAATATAATTTGTTCAAAGGATAAGTACTTCTTTACAAAGCTCGCTTTACATGTCACCAATATGGAGAATATCAGATCCCAACCCCAGCATTGATTACCTGTAGCCTAAAATGACTTACACGGCCTCCACTTACACAAGATATTTTGGGGTTTGGCCTCTTGCCAAGGTCACACACTTTTAGAGGGTTGATGAAACCAAAGACACTCCTCTGGGAAAGACAAGCCATGTTCTGCCATTTGAACAGCTAAAAGTAAGAGAGTGGTGTCACCCATTGCTTTCCTTGGTCTTATCGGTAACTCAAGTCCCAACTCTAATCAAGATCTGTACAAGTAAGATTGTAGCCTAGCATTTGCATAAACAATAACTTGACTAATTTTGGAAACCTTTGCACAGATTACACATTGGGATTGTAAGATGTGGGTATTTACAATGCTGACAAAATATGCATATTGGTTGTATTATATGTAGGATCCAGCATTTTTTGGTGCATTCCTCATAGGTTAATTGAATTATCTTGGCCTCTGATGCTTCTATATTTAGGCCATCCTTTCAAAAAAAGTGTCTCTTGTGAATCTCCCAAATTCAATGCTATTCAAAATCGCTGGAGTGTCCCTTTAGATAAGGTAAGCAGGTTGACTTCAAGTAGGCTATCACCCACCCACAGTTCATACTCAAACTTGTAGTAGCCTATAACCTTTTTTGGTAAAAACCGAGTCTTAAATTTAACAGTTTCCCTCTGGTGACAATAAAAATGTAGCCTATACATACATAGGTGGTCTTACAGCAAAACACACACATATAATTACACTACACTGGAAACTTAACGACTGCACCGCAGTTCTTGGTAAATTCTTTGAAACAAAACAATAATGCCGTCACGTGACTGAATTGTCTTTCGGCTGATGTAGACAGGCGGTGGATTTTTATGAACGCGGCACTGCACTGCCCTGAGAGATGGAAAAAAACTGAGCTTAGAAAACGGGGAGGAGCGACGGCATCACAGGCATGACAGAGAGAGGAGGAGAGGACTCCTGAGAGAGGACCGCTGTTACAGGACTACTGTCCTCCTGTGCCGACACGTCATATATTTAGGCGTCATTTAACAGTGGTCTGTGGTGGATATTTAGTTTAACACTGTCCATTAGTGTCGCGCTGTGAGGAGGACTTGTCCCACTGTTAGCTTGTTTGCTAGTTTACTCCGGCTGCATGGCTAGCTAGCACAATAAAGCTAACTGTCGTTAGCTTCTGGCTTCAGCGGCGAAGTGAAGAGCCGAGGAGGGGAATGGCAAGAGTTTACTCGGATAGCGCTTTCAGAAGAAACAACGACTAACCAGCCTAAACCAGCCCAAATCTCGGTAGTTCTCTGATTCACCGGTAAGCACCAGTTATGGGATTTATGTCAAGTTGACAGCGATTGGTAAAGTTAGCGCTAGCTTGCGGGCTAGTCTCAGTTTGATAAGATGAGTGACAGTTAACGTTGTGTAAGCTAACGTGAAGTAGTCGGCGTGGCAAATGTTGTTAATCACTATCACGGTGTTTGTGTTAAAATAACAATACCTGTGTTTAATTTCTCGTTATTAACTACAAACATACGTAACATTTGAGGGTAAAACTGTTGAAAATGTCCAACGTTGAAGCCGATTCCTGTCAACTTAGAAGCACTTCGCAGAAGACCAAAACAAGTGGGGAAGAATGAAAGCATTCAAAACACAAAGAGTTAGCTTAGACGAAAGAATGAGTACCGTAAACAGAAAGTATGCATAAACGTTTGAAGTAATTTGATAGGACACTTTAACAACACTTGCCAATCATTTAGGCGTGATTAGGTATCCAGAGAAACTACTGAATGGTGTGGTAGAAAGTGTCACACTCTCATCAACACATACTAAAGTAATTGTTTTGTTTTGACGTGTCTTTGAAGTTGCTGACAGAGCCTGAAGCATGACGGTAATTATGTATTCCAGTAGCACTCGTTAGATGCGTGTTTAGAGAGGATGACCTGTTTGTATTCCGCCTGTCCCAGCTTGGTTATTATTAGTCTGCCTGCCCTGATCCCTCTGTAGTGCTGGGACGTTAGCTCACACCCCTCCTTGCAGCCATGTTCCCATCACTGCATAGCAGGAGTTACAGACATGTATCAGCATGCTGACCAAACATAGAACATGAAGTTCAAGCCACACGTGGCAGAATCATTGTCTTGACACCACAGTCTGTTTGGTTTTTATTAAAAACATATGTGCATTTGTCTTTTTAACTGTTAATGTTCAAGTGACCGTTTTAAGATTTATTTTCTTCCTATGTTTTTACTCTCGGTCTCACCCTGCTCTTGAGCCTCTGCTCCGGCATGTGGAATGTGCTGTTTACGTTTTAAAGAATGAGCAGCACCTGTCTTTTTTTCATCATGTGGTGTGTGGCGGTGAGCTGAGCTTCTGCAGAGACAGGAGATGAAGTTTGCGTGGTTATATCCCCAGTAGTGTGCAGTGAAAAATCATTGCAGGGGTACAGTCTCTGTTTGATAAATGAGCGGGAAATGCTGCATCCAGTGATCAGTGAGGTCCTCGGTCACGGCTCAGGAGAGTTTCCTTCTGCAGCCCATCACTATACACAGCTTTCTAGCTCCTAGGGCTGCTTGCCAAACACACAAAAGCACACACACATACGAGCACACAAGCATCTGGCATTATTCAAGCCGTCAGCCAAAACACACCTTTACTTAATGACACACAGAGTCTTCAGTGGTAGGTCCAGATGCAGCTATAATGCTGTAATTTTGGCACTCCGCACGTAGTTGTTGTGATGATGCCAAGACTGCATCTCACATTTTCTTTCTTTCACAAATGCCTGTGATCATGATGTATTCGAGCTTGTCAGATTTTTTTCTTATTTCTGTTCAGGTTGTTGGTGTTACTGTAATCCCCACCATGGTGCAGAAGTACCAGTCACCTGTGCGGGTGTACAAACATCCTTTTGAGCTGGTGATGGAGGTAAGTGTCTTTACCTGTATTTGCAGTAAACCCTCTGTCCACATGAATATTGCATGCCATAAATGCAGAGTTGTGTAATGCTGGTGGGTGGGCGCTTCAGCGGTCACCCTCAGAAGGTAGTCATTATATTACAAATATTGCATGCGACCGGCTCACAGATCCAAAATGCTGTAGGCACACTGCAGTGCACGCAGTTCACGTCATGTTCCCGCATCACCATTCTAACAGCTATGGCTAGTTTGAGTTAGGTGTTTGCCGCACTGTCAATGTTGCGGTAGTGATCTGCAGGACTTGCAGAAACTCTAGGAGAGTTGTTTCTGATAAGCAGTGACAACAAATTTTATAGAAATGTGCAAAACATCACATCTGTCTCTGATTAAAGAAACAGACATGGGGCTTTTCATTTGCTTGCAGTGTGAAAACACTAGCAGCACCCTCAAACAGGCCAGTGAGTAACTAGCTAGAATGATAACTGTGTAAATTAAGAGGTTACACTCCCACACACACTCTTATGTCATGTGGGCTACTGAAATGACCTACTCCATCTAGCTTCCTGTCATGTCAAGGTTTAAGGTCTGTTCATTGTTTACTGAAGTGAGAAACCATTGTGCTAAACATCTGCACACTCAGCATCTGAACATACAACATGACTGTCCTGTTATGTTAAACAGAGGTTGCTGGTGGTAGTCCATTTGCAATGTAAAAAATTCAGCGCCTTGTGCCTTTAGCGACTGCCTTGCTGCATGTTGTCATCCACTTTGGAGCGTGAGTGCCTGTGTTGAGTGCACAGAGAGGCTGTACTCCTCTACTTTCTTTTTGCTCTGTTTTATATGGCCAGAATTCCTAGTTTCTCTTTCTACTGTCGGTATTGTCGGTAATGTGGCGTTCGTGTACTCCTGCAGATCCCTGGCCTGATTATACAATCATTGATTTCAGCCAAACAGTCTAACTAGTCAAAGGTGCTTTATTGCTGTGCTGATAAATTCAGTGATGCATGGCTATTTGTGCTTTGTTCATTTAAATGGCCTCTGATCACCGGAAAGCTAGTCTGGTATGCAATTATTTCCTTTCAACAGCGATGTGTTTTAGGCACGCTAGGTTCCTGACAGGTGTTGTTTTCATTAAATGGAAATCAGCTTTCTACACTGGCAAGAAAGAGGATGCAGGAAGACTAAATCTCTTTAGCACAGGGCTGGATTGAGCACTGGGCAAACAGATGACTATAAGTAGAGGGCTGGTACCTACACCTGGGTTTACACATGCAGCCGAAGGGGGGAATAGTGATGATAGAAAAGCAGACTTACATGATTTGTAAGCTGGAGATGACCCACCTGAAGGGTTTTTTTTCTAGATGGGACAGGCTTACTTTTTGAAAACTAATGGAGTAGCCCTGGGTGTTTTTAAACTAGGACAGCAACGGATAAGATGGATGTTGAAAGTTACATACAGAAAAAATAAATTGCGTCGTGTTAAAGGGTTAAGACACAAGTAATGCGGGCTGAATCCTCTTTAGAGTGTGGCTAAAATGTAAATTTTGTCAGCAGTTTGAAGAGTTTGGTGCATTTGGATTCTTTTCCTTCTGACTTGTGACTTTTCTCTGCAGTGAGTATTTTTGCAGACACTGCAGAGCAGACTTAATGGTGCGTCACAACACTTGCCGGCTCTTTTTTTATTGAAAACCCAGTGAAATCTCTCCCCTCTCACTTCCTCTATAGCAGGTCTGTCGCAGGCCATTGCAGTATAGTGTAACAACAACATCCTGTGTTTGTGGGAAGCAAAACAAAACATTGTTACAGTGTACTGATTGTCTATTGTGTTAACAAGAATAAACTTCTTTATGTCAGGACTACTTATACTTTTCAATATGTATATGGTGTACATACAAGGCATTATGCAGAGTAGTTCCAAAATGATATAAACATTAATATATTGGGTCATAGCTTAGTTTCCCCTTCCAGTTCCTCAGAGCCTTTTAAAGTGTTTGACAGTAATGGCTTCTCCCTTTTGTCTGTTACGGGGATTATATTTGACATGCTTTGGGAAAATGTGGTGTTCTCTCTCCACTAGCTGTTAGGATTATCAGTTCTTTGAAATACCCATTTACTCTTCCGAGGGTAAAAACCAAGTCTCTACATTCCTCCATTAAAACCTAAACGCATTCTTTTAGTCTGGATGAATTATAGCCTCTTGGCGGAGCCACTCGGCCCGCTGACAGGTACTATCAAAGTATTTCAACCTCTAACACTAACACCGCTGTGGCTTGAATGTACTGTTGCATAAGTCAAGATCTCAGATGCCCCTCAGCTGTTTTTCTTCTGAGTGCTTACTGTACCCTGCATTCAACATGGTATTCTTCCCAGTGTTGAGAGGTTTTTGGCAGGTTTGACACTCTTCTCATCTTCTCTCTCATCTGATTCTTTAGAATGATGTTACCCATGTGTACCACAGTATGGGCATAATAAAGCAAGATAATAAATTGAAACCATCAGCACCCTTACGGGGGCAAGTAAAATGCCACGTTGGGAAGGTAAACCTAGCAACTCGCTTGCCCCATCAGGCAAGTGTTGATTTATTATCATGCTGCGGCCTGTCTCCCGTTCTCTGTGTTGGGGCTGAGCACCTCCACACAAACAGAGACAGACAATAAAACCTTTTGTGAGTAAAAAGCCAATACTTCATCAAAACACCTGTTCAACAAGCTAAACTGAAACCTGTCTGTATGTATGTCTAACTGTTAGCTGAATTTGCCACATACCTTTTTTAAATTTGGAAGAGTAGTAGTATTGATAAATCCCATCTCTACCTGTGAGAAAATGGCAACAGTATCACTCACTCACAGTTACAAGTCCAGTTACAGTCACAAGTTATTTAAATATTAAACATGACACTTAACTTTAATCTTGTTGTTATTTAAAATGACTAATAAACAAAACTGTTTTTATAAGGACAAGTAAAAATTGGCAAGGAGATTTCTTCCCCACTTGCCCCACCAGGCATTGAAAAACATTCACATTGAACCATAATAGGAAACTCTGAACTCGGTCAACAACAGTCTCATCCTTCTGAGAGCTGTGCCCATTGGTGGCTGTGTACCAACAACAGCTGACTGGGTTTGTTTGAGTTTCCCCAAAAGCGCACAACACTTGTGTATTAGTATCAACCTTGAGAGCCTTCTCACCACTTCATAAAGTAGAGTATCACTGAAGCAAGGAAGTACAGCAGCAGTTTATTTAAAAATAAATAAATAAATCAGCCTCAGCGTACAGTCCCTTGAGTCTGCTGCCGCATCTCAATAACAGGAAATATAGTTGATGCTGTTGCTGCCGTTATCGCAGCAGTCCAGTCTCAGAGCCTCTAGTCTTTCCTTGGGGAATCACATAGGAATGTCAAAAGCACACAATACCCCTCTCGCTGTTGTTTCAGCCTGAAAGGAATTGCCAGGAATAAAAACCTGGCTGACCCTGGAACAGTATATAACGGCTACTTTGATGTTGTCTGTTATAGTTGACCTTAAAAGACAATAACTATCCTTAAAGTCCCTCTCAGATTAGAATGCATGCTGCAGAGAGAGGGGATTAAGTTAGTCAAAGCCTATCGTAGCCTAACCCGCTCCATGGAAACGTATGGGTTTGTAGCTAATCCACGAGGACAAAGCTGTTTGGTCCTGCCCCTGTCCCAGTAAAGTTTCTACACAGGAAAGAACAGGATGTGCCAAACTAGTGTAATGCTTGCTGGACTTGTTGGCACCATCAACGACAGGGGACGTTTCCTTCTTAGTGACTAAGTCCTTTTTCATCAGTGGCAGCAATACAAACAAGTACAGATGCTTTAGATACTGAATGTTTTCATGAAAACATTCTGTGTGTTTCAAGTAAAATGGATTGTCTTGAAATAGATATGTGTCATTTGTAAGTAATAAAAGCTTACAAAATCAAAAGCACTGGCAAAAAAATGGGGGAAGCAGAGAAAGATTAAATACAGCTTAGAAGTATGAACAGAAAAGCCGCAAGAAGACAGACAAAAAGGGAAGAGAATGAAAGGGAGAGGTAGAGTGACCCAGACTGTGTTGGCTACTTCTTGGACTAAGCTCTGCCTGCCAACACCGTAACCTCTGCACACAACTGTGTGACTTCAGATTCTCAAAATTTCAGTGTTTCTCTTTTTCGTGGGTCTCACACTCTCTCACACAAGTGAAAGCAAAGTGTGAGAGTGTCCTGCACACACCGCCTTCTCAGACCAGGGTTATTTCCTGCATAGAGAATTACGTCAGATTTTGACCCACCTCCAACTCTTCACAAAACTCTGTCTTCATGCTATATTTTAGAGCAAGTGATGCACTCTGTGTCAACTCCGTCACTGAAATTGCAGCGTTACGCTGAGGATGTGGCAATGTATCGTAGTCAGGACAATGCCATGGGAAAGATTGTGCCCAAACTTCCTGCGAGGAAGAAAAGAGTTTTCCGATTGGCCGGACCCCAGCACGCCGGCCCAACAGCGTTTCCACTGGTAATGTTTTTGCCTCCACAGCAACTGTTTGCGTCAATGCTCAATCTATTACATTCCATGAGTTGTACTCTAATCTGTGGAGTCAGTAAGTTCTTGTAAACATTCTTGTAAGACTTTACAAACCTTGTCAGATTCCCAGAGAACCCTGAAATCTGCCAACCTGACACCTGAGCTACTGTCTCTACATTATCAGTCTAACTGCATGAGAGAAATAACTAGAGCTGGAAGGTCAATGAACACTTGTGCTAATTACTCCAAGCTAGATCTGTCTTACCTTTCCCACTTTCATCAATTAAGCCCCCTGCGAATACTTTACACTGGTAAAATGGAAGGAAATAAAGTTAGTTTTAATCAACTTTTTCACACTTTATTGAAAGGTTTAAACAGAACATGATATTAATTCTTTACAAAACCTACATCTGAGAAAATGACTGCCACATCTACAGATAAAAGCAAATAATTTAATAAGAAGTTACACTTTAAGATAAAAATCT